TTGGAGCAGAAGATATAGAGGCTTGTGATGGTCCTTAGTTCCTGAGGGAGTTTATTCCACAGTCTTGGACCAGCCCCAGGAGAAAGGGCTGGCTCCCAGACAAACAAGCTTCACTCTTAGTGGGAGAATCCCAATAACACTGAAAGTCTGACCTTGCCCCTTTACTAAAGAAGACAGAACCTTGGTAATTAGCAACCAGGAGAGAATGAATCTCAGGTGCTTTCGAATGCACTTTGTTAACTATCCTGTACAACTGACTAATGAAGGACTAAGGGTCCCTGGGCTGCTCTGTATCTAAGGAAACAGAGCAAGGGAAACAGAGACACACCCACCATCTTCATACAGAAGGCCTTGGCTTGTGCAAGATGTGTGTGCATGGGCTTTGTTCTCCCTCAGTTTACCCTGGGCCACAGCTACAGTTCTCTCCTAAGGAGCAGGAGGTGAGGAGGTCAGATTCTGAAAGGTGAGTTTGGTTGGGGCTATTTGCTTATCATTTTGGTGATACTGGAATAATCCAGGTGGGCCTGGAATGAGCTGGGAGGGTATATGGGTAGGATAGCCGCCAGGCGTCAGCATAGAATGTGACACTCCCCATCTGATTTCCACCCCCCTTTGCATTTCCAAGAGCCCCTCCCTACATCATCCCCATTAACGTCTTTGTGTTCTTTAATCTCTGATCTTTTAATCACTCTCTTGGAGGAGTCTATTCTACTCTACTGTCCGTTTGCTCTGACTGGTAAAGCGGGACTGCATATTAGGTGACAGTTAGATGTGAGCAGGACTCCTCTGTTCCAAACGCTGGGGAGTGGAGTTGCAGGGGGTTGGGTCATCTACTGTATTTCCCCAGGCTTTGGTGCTGTCACAGTTGATTTATGTCTGGCCTACAGGATTCTCTCGGTTCTACTTGTGCCATAGCTTGCTTATGACAATCACATTCTACAAGGCTGGAGATATAGGTTTAGCTATAGGATGTGATCCCCAGGTTCACCTGTACACAGGTACAGGTGTTTAGTGTGGCTGGCATGCAGTTAGGTGGCTGAATGTTTATGTAGGTCAAAGAACATGCCCTAACTATGGGCTTGTTTACACATGGAGTTATTACTGATGAACTTTCTGTGTGAACACTGTTATTCCAGAATAAGAATGCCTTGTTCCTGTTTAGCTTCACCCAGTGGGTTAGATAACTAATGCACATACGCTATCTCACTGTAAAATCCTAGTGGAGACAAGGCTCTGTAGTTCTCACAGCAGTATAGCTAGGCAAGCTCAAGGTGGGTGGAGGGGTATAGTGTTGACTTTCCCTAGTTACATCATGGTGAAAACTGCCTGCCCCTTGCCCCCACTGGGATTTTACAGCAAGATAACAACCGATTTATCTTATTATATTAAAAAAACCCCAAACAAACTGTGTGTGTTTTGGTAATGAAGACGAGCGCATGTCAGGCAAGTTCTAGAAGAAACTAGCTTTGCACTGATGTGGCCTTCTCCTACAGCCTTGGGGGAATTTAGATGGAAACACTCATATTTAGAATCCTCAAACCGGGTTGTTTGCCAACATTATCTGTTGGGATTTAAGGTTTGTCTCTCTGTAATTAAAGGTGATCTGCAAAGAGGAAAACAATAAATAGAGTTCTGCTTCTTCCCTGGGCCCCTTTTTTATGTTCCAAATGCAGACCTGCTTATGCTTTACCATAAACGTTCAGGGCATATCTAAGCTGGAAGAGAGTATGTCACCTCTGCAATGGGAGGTGTGATTGCTGCACATGTAGGCATACCCAAGCTAGCTTGGATCTAGCCAGGGTGAGTCCTTGCTGCAATGACAGCACCATGGGCTCCAATGCAGGCTGTACAAACCCATCCAGGATTCTGGCTAATTACTCTGGTGGCTAGCCCATGCTGCTGTGACATCACTGCTATTGGTACTCACGCTAGTTAGATTAAAGCTACCTCAGGTTTGGCTGCATGAGGCAGTCACACCATGTGATTGCAATGGGCACCTATCCTGAGGTGACTGGAGAGCTAGGAAAATGGTGACATCCCAAGCGAGTGACAGTTGAGCAACTGAGAAACCAAGGGATTTTTTGTCAGACTGTTGCCATCTCTTTGGCCGAGACTCTCAGAGCTGTGATTAGTTTCAATGGAAGAGGTGTAGCTAAGGCTGTCCCCTGGGTATAGCCACCAGTGGCCAGCTGCCAGTGTAACTGCATCAGAGCAAACCCCTCGTGTAGCCAGGCAAAGCCATGATTTGACAGATACTGTTTTATTTCAACATAGCCACAGAGTACCTCAGTTGCCCCCTCTCATCATAGTCCAAGCAGTTCGCACCTTCTCTCACTAACTCTAGCATTGTCTGATTCGTTATCAGACTTGCTCAGTTTTAAAAGATGCAGTTCCTGACTGCTAGCCCCGTCATCTCAACCTGCCCCTCTGAAAGCCAAGTCGGATTCTCTCTTGCCTGTGCTGTGGCATCACTGCTACAGATTCTGCAAGTTGTACTCTGCTCCACACTTACATTTAGCCTTCAGATCTTAACCCTTTTGGTCCCAACACTCTTAAACATCAGAAAATATTTTGAGGTCTGCTCAGACTGAGTTGGCTTTCATTTATTTTTGATTGGTCTCCTCACAACTAGAAACCTCCAGAGAAGCTTAATGTGATGGCAGAGCCATGGGCAGGGGAAGGGAAGGGAAACAATTGTGGATGAAAGAACAAAGCTTCCTCACACCCTGTGTGAAACCACAGCCTTCTCGGTGGTTTAGAGTAGCTGGCGATACGTGCTCTCCAAGTTCTTGCAGTTGTCATTTCAGTTCTTCTTGTGCTCTTTGCTTTCAGGAGGAAGTGCTCAGCTACTGTTCTCCAGAGCCTTCCAGCCTGGGTTCTTGTAGATGCTTTGGATCGGCTTCCAGGCCAGCAGGTGCGTGGCAGAACATTCGAGGCTTGTGAGGCTTGCCCATAATCCAGGAAGCTGTACTTTCTCTTTGTAGCATGTTACAAGGATGAGAAACTGGTTCCCCCCATAAAGATCACTCTTACAAAGTGAATCTCGCATAGATAAGAGGGATGTGGCTTGGGAGACTAGAGACCTCATTTTACTCACAAACTAGTACAGCAGCCGCAGTGCAGGGCCACAAATGTGTCTTGGCCCTAGCTTTAACAGGAAGAGGCTGCCTCAGGGTAAACTCAGGCTCTATGCACAGGCTTCATTCCTTGGCATCTCTGAGACCAAGAAGCGGGCCTGCGGTGAAGTGTAGTTTGTGTGGAGACCTGTCCTTCTAGGAAGTGGACTGGAAATTAACTACCTTCAATCACACAGGCCACCAGATAGCCATTGGATGGTCATGACCTTCAAGCACTACTTCCCACTTGGCATTTCCCAGTCTGGCTTTGCAACAGCAGCATAATGAGACCCAAAGTGTTTGTACGGAATGCAAGTTACATAACCATGAGACAAAATAGCAGTGCCATCTAGAGGTAGCTTGTTGTAGCAACTGCAAGTGAGTTGGCATTTTGTCATGATTTTGCATCTTTCACTCCTATAAACAGATGTCAGACCGGCTTCACCCCTCAAAATCGGTGGAGTCACACCAGGGATGAATTTGGCCTGTTATGTTCTTCCAAATCTGTCTTCCTCATACTGTTTTGGACACCTCTTTGCAAGAGTCTGTGGAGAGTTCAAACCACTCTCTAACCATCCTGTGTACTATTTAGTACCAGCTGGCTAGGAGGAATGCTCACATCCCTCTTCCCCCTGGCAACAGGAATTTGCCCTCTGGGCCACAGCTTCATAAGTCATCTGGGCTTGCTGTAAGGCTGTACTTGCCCTGGGCAAACTGTCATTCCATAGTTACTGAACACTTTGAAGCCCCAACCAAACCACCTGTTCTGACTATACGCTAGAGATCCCTCGATACATTCCCTCTACAGCAGCTGCTGCTGACATAAAAGCATTGCCCTGTAACAAGCAGCATGGACTATTTGCTGGCATTCCCCTTTTGGAATAGGTGTCTGCTCTCCTTGAGACCACCGCTGATAGCTAATGTCTAAGACCAGCTTTCCCATGCATGAATCTAAGTTTGGTAACTATGTAGCCACTGATGCAACTGCAATCCTGACTCTGACCCTGTTTGAAATTCTTTGTCCTTTAAAATATCAGCAGAATCCAGCTTCTTAGCATTAAGGGGCAGAGGTGGGCATAATTACTCTGTCATTAATGTGCTATGAATTTATGTGGACAGATGCTGAAGCATGATAACTTGCTTGCATTCTGAGGGTTGAACTGATGGCTAACTAAAATTGGGAAGGAATTTTTCCTTTTTCCCCAGAGCCGTGTTGATGGGAGCACAGGAATTCCTATAAAGCAATGAATGTGTTAGGATGAGGTGGGTAGTCTATGCAATCTCTTCCCTGCTTCTGCAAGGAAAGCCAGGCCTTGGGCCTCCCTGTTATTTAAAAAAAAACCACAAAATACTTGGCGGATATCTTCCATTCAAAATGTTGAGATAACTAGTGTGTTCAGGGAGGTTCCAGCATAGGCTCCCTCACTGCCCAGCCCCTCTCTTCCTCTGTCTTAACTCAGCTTACCTCCTTCTCTAGCAGCAAAGATTAGGAGGTTTTATTCTTCCCCATCCATTCAATGTTATGAAGGCATCTTACTCAAGTGAGGGCCAAAGAGCACCCCCCACATCCAGCCATCTTTCAGCAGCACTGACAGGCTCTTCAGAGCTCTGTCAAATGTCAAAGAAAGTAGCCCTGATGCAGGAGCAGGGTGTGCATGGAAGCACTGTCCCCAAACTTGATGCTGCTTGTGACCAGCTCTACTAGAGTGAGGCAGCCAGTACTCCCTTCAGTATCACCAAATGGCATGAACTGCTGGGGCAGTTTCCCAGCCCACATCTTGGTATTGACGGATAGGCCCGGATGGGGCTCTAGTCACTTGCTTCTGTTCAAGTGCTGTCTCAATACATGAAGTAACACAGAACAACATACTATAGTTCTGTTTATTGTAATAGGGAAAAAAACAGAATAAACCAAACACCACTTTCTGCCTAGAGACATCATTATTGTAATGTAAAAATGCATCCCCTCTGTCCAGGCATTGTTCAGCAGCACTGAGGGGAACCCCAGAAATACAAGACAGAAAACAAGAGTTGCGGCAAAGGGGTTCTGCTCTCTTCCAAGAGAAAAGGTTCAGTTTCCCTGCCCCTTTGTTAGTCAACTCACTGGAAGTGCTTTACTTACATACATTTACATATTTATCTCTCATTCTATCTTATATACCTATAAATAAGTGTTGGTGGGTGGAATGCTGGGTATACGCATCTGCAATTTATACATAGCCCATCTGAGGGATTGGGCTACTAATAAGCCTACAGAGCATCGGGTGGGCTCACTACACAACCATGTTAATTGGTTGGGGTAGAGGGGGCTCACTTTCATGTAATTCATTTATCAAGGAGCCCAATGTTAGTGTTGAACTCAGGCCCCTTTCTGGGTCCCCCCCTACAGTGGGACTGTCCCATGGTGCCTGCAAACAGAAGCTGCTGCTGAGTAAAATTTTATCCAGTAACTTTTTTTTTTTTTTTAAAGTAGCAGCACTATCTGTCCTGGGATTAATGGGGTGGAGGGACGGCAGATTCCAAAATATATGAGGTGAATCTGTTCCCCTTCTTTCCTCTCTCCCAGAAAAGATGTAAAAGGTCCTGAAGTTTGCTGGGCAGTCAAGTAAGATCCAGGCTCAAGCCTAATTAGTGGGATACATTGCTAGGGTGTATGCTGGTCTCCATTTATACAACAGGAGATGGGGAAGGACAGGACAGGAAGACATACAGAGTATAGGAAAGCAGAGGAATGCAAAAACCTGTTTGGTGGTACTTCTCGAGGAGCAGGGAAAGAAGGGCTCTGAAAACCACTCCCTTTAGAACAGTTTCTGCAGACTATGCATTTTCTGGGTTCTGGGAATGTTTGTGCAAACCAGGAGCTGTTTCTAAAGGGCATCTGCTCCCACTGCTTATGTTCTACCGCACCTGGAGTCCAGATTCATCACAATGAAGGGCTGAGGAAGAGGACTGTTATGTTACAAGGAGAAGATGACACAATGGAACACATTCTGGGTTGCATTGACCATTGCCCTGGACCTTGTGTAGTTATATACACTTTATCAGTCTGACTTAATAACACATTTTACCCCCACTATATATTTGTCTAAAGGACTACACAACATGCAGGGCAACATCAAACTGAAACTAAAATCATCCTCTTCCTCCTAAACAGCGTGCACCACTTTTAGTTGTTACTGAATAAGCACAACAGAAATTGCTCTCCAAAGGATATCCTTTTGGAACTATTAACAAGGGTAGAAACTTAACAGAGCAAGGACACAACTGCTTTAGGATCTTAGGAAGTGTCCTGTGCACTGGTGTGATTAGAGGTTGAGGCAGGTCTAAACTAAGCTTGGAGCAGTTCTTTGCACAACAAGACACTGGGCAAAGGATTCTGCACATGCAAGGTCCTCCTGTTGGCAGGATCTGGGGCAAGTACTCCCCATTACAGAGTATCAGCAACACTAGTGGCCATGGGGGAAGTTCCCACTGTCCCGTGACTATCTTTCTTTCATTGTCTCTCCTAAAGACAGTTGCTGGAGAATCAATGGGGGGAGGATAGCTATACTTGAAGGAAAGATAGCACAAAGTACCCCTTCTTTCCTTTCCCTAACCTCCTACCCACAAGAGAGTCAAATGGAGAGGCCGCAGTAATCTTTAATCAGGGGAGGATGCTGTTCTGACCCAATCCTTTGCCTATTGTTCAGCCTTAACCACTTCCAATGATAGGCACGTGTATCCCTTGAAGTGTCCCTGATGCCCTGATGAAAAGTGGAGAAATTCTATTTAGAGACTGTTCTGCTTTTGTCTTGCTCATCCCTCTTCTTCTTTAATTTGGGGAAATTTACATGGAAACCAGATAGCAGCTTCTGCAATGCTGACCCGTTGTTTTCTTCACACATTTAATCAGACTCATCTGTGACATCACACTCAACTGCCATGGAAAGGATTATGGTGTCACAGAAGGCTGGAACCTTAGTGCTTATGTTGTGACTGCAAACAGATGCTGCAGACTGTTTGCAAACCTTAGATTAATGTGCAGCTGCCATGCTGTTCTTTCCTCACTGTGCATGCAACACTGGCTCAGCAGGGCAAGAACAGGCCCCATGCAAAGGTAGTCAGTTTCAAGGGGTTTTGCACAGGAGCCTATGAGCTTGCTTGCTATGGGGAGAAGGAAAAGTTTCACTTCGTTTTGCTTTTACTTGACCCTTATTTTCCCCTGACTGAAAGGGATACTGATCTTTTGGAGAGGTCCTGTCCTCCACCCCTTAATTCTTGGATGCAAGTCTGGCAAGGGATTGCTAGGACTCTTAACCCAGTGCCTCCCCTTGGGTACCCCAAATTGAGTAATGGGCTCTCCAGTCTCCATAGAATGAATTCCCACATCTCCAGCAAGAGGGCTATTTAGAAAGTGTCAGTGTACACAGACAAGACAGCCTTAACAAGTTAGAATAATACTATTAGAAATTATGGCAATCTTTTTGGTAGCATTGTCCTACATGCAACCCGATAAGTCATCTCCCTGGGAAATCTGAAAAAACATCTTGTTATTTCCTTGGAGACAATGCTGATGTGAAATTATAAAATAGAAATCTGGTAGATTTGTGTGTTTAAAAAGGAAAAGCCTGGTGAGGCTTGGCACATCCATCCATTTGTGTTAGCTCTGTCCATTATGTCTGCGGAAGGTATTACCACCAGGTGGCTGGATCTGGATGGAGTCCAGGAGAGGCCTCAAAGCTTGTCCAAAGGGTCTGAGGTGGCAAGGAAATTAAAAAAAAAAGAAAAAAAGGACATTTATAGATCTTAAAGTGATCATGCTACATATATACAAGGATTTCTCACACACCCTTGAAATGTAGCCACCTCTGAAACAGAATGAGATGGCCTTTATAATGGCAACTTCGTAAAGTCCTGTTCTTCAATGAGTTACTTTATATGGTTTAATTTAACCAGTTAAATAAAAATTGCTACAGCAGCAACTTTAAATGTTTGTTCAAACTCTAGTTTTCATGAGCCAGTTCCTTGAATCCTAACATAAAGTAGTGTCAAGATAGCAGTACCCTGTCTGATACTAACTTTTAGTAATTTATCTAGTTACCTGAGGTGATCAGAATATGATTTTGCAAAGCAGTTTTCCATTAAGTGTCAAACATCATTAAATAGTGGAGTAGTAGCTATCCAACTGAAACTCCTAAGAGAAAGTTAGGGAGGCAGAATGTCAAATTTGAGCTAAATTCAAACTTGGCCAGAAACATAGTGACTATCATCAGTAACCTTGGAAAAAGGGCCATGGGATCTCTAATGGTCACAAGTGTCCAAACCTTAGTTTAATAGATGGCATCTCTGGCAGCAGAACCACCTCTAGCACCTCTGTGCAACTCTGGATCAGTATTCACTGAATAATTCCTACTGAGTCCTGCAGCATCTGAGTTTTCCTTGAAGGTCTCCTATTCAAGTATACATTGGATCTGACTTTGCTTAGCTTCATCTTACAGCCCAGTACAGGAGAAACATTTCTACCAACTGACCTTGCGTGTCATAGTCAGGTACAGTGCTGTTTGTGATAAGAGGAGAACTGGATGGTGCAGCTCTCCTTACTGACTCAACTGAAAGTGCATACCAAAGGAGGCTGAGCTAGCCTCTGAGACAGTGAGATCTACAAATCTCAGTTGTGATGAGAAAGGATGTTATAGAACTTACACTTATTTCCTCCCTTCTGCATCCTCTCCTCCCATCCAGCCCCTGCTTTTAAGTATCTCAAAAGCAACTTCAAAGCTTTACCTCCATAGGGCAACATGGCAAGCCTCAACACAGTGATGGCCCTCGGGGGCAGGAAAGGTGACTCATTAGCGATGCCCACACCCTGCCCTGAGATGAAGACATTGCTTATTTTAATTTCAAAGAGGTACTAGTATCCTTAGCCACTGGCCTTTATACGGCTCTCTGACCTCTTATATACATCTTGTCAAGTGATTAAAAAAAAAAAAAAAAGCCATAGGGAGGCAGTTAGATTACATTCATTGATGGTAGAAGAAAAGAATCTTCCACCCTTCCCTCATCATGATAGGGCCAGTCATGGTGTAGAGACTGTCATTGCATATAAAGGCCCAAATAAATGAAGTGGCATCCTCTCCCTGATCTCATGAGGTACAGCAGGTACCAGTCCCCACCTAGGGCTTACCAGATGTGGCAGCAAACATCCAGGCACCAGCATGAAGCAACATACTACAGATAGAAACAGAGAAGATTGTACTCACGTGGAAAGGACTTCGGACGGAAGGTCAGTAATGTAGGAAGGGATCTTTCTTCCTGTCAGGAACTGCGCCACTTCGTTACTAAAGGTGTTGCAGTTATGTTCAAAGAGGTTATAAGACTCTCCTCTGTGCCCAGGAGAGGAGTTCAAACACAGAAGAGAGAGAGTCAGCAATAAATACCGCAAGAAAAGGAACTCAAACCAATAATTAATTACATCAGCACCATTCATCCTAAAGGACCCTAACACGATTTAGACAACACACAAGTCCGTTCTCTCTCCAAAACTCAGCTGAGTTGGGGGTGGAACGTGGCAGCCATTCTGTACTACTGACACTACACAACAGCCTTTTGGAGGAGAAATGAGTACCAACTTCTTCACTTGAAATTACAGAAGAAATAGTAGATCCAAGTAATTACTGAGGTTGGAATTTCATCGGGATACTAAGTAAGTATTATTGTTAATTACTTTTGTGAGAAGTGCCCTTGGCTTTCTAATGAACACAGGAAGTCAGAACCTTGGTTTTACATATTATCTGAAAGAGGGCAGCTCCAGCACAGTGTTTCAGTACTGGCTCTCACGGTAAAGTGCCCCTATTGAATGAACACTATTTCCTCGATCATGTAGGTCTTCCATGAAGGTCTCTCATCCAAAACATACCAGGCAAAACCCTGTTTGCTGTCAATATTCAATGTGGGCTCAAGATCCAGTGTTGCAGGCATCCTGACAGAATTCTTTTCCAGCCTTGATCAAGGCCTGGGTCCACCCAAGTGTTATGTAGCTTGCAGTTGATCATGTGCCAGTTCTAGCCCCATTATTACTTATCTGGTTAGTACTAAACAGTATATTAGTCAGGTGAAGCTTTGTGTTAGTGAGACAGGCCCTGGGACCCCCACCCCAATTTTCTTTTTTTTGGCAAAGAAATGTTAAAAATCAAATAAAAGTTATAACTCACCGGAACATGGATTCTCCCAGCGAGGACAAGTATTCCAGGAAAATTTCTTCTGTAACTTCTGTGCTCCCCAGGTCTACAACTGAGTCTGGGGGCCCGAGCAACGTCCCTCCCTGTGAAATGCACAAGCAAAAGAAGATGCTAAATGGACAGAATGGATTCTGATGGAGCACTCCAAGGGGTGGGGATTCCTGCAGTCCAGAATGCTGCTGACATAAACAAACTAACATGGTTTGCCCAGGAGCAGGGAAAGGGGTTTACAGTATCAGATTCAGAGCAAACTATTCTGTCCTCAGCTCTCTCCAGTTAGAGAATGAGAGGTACAAGACACTTCATGTGTCTTATTCTGCAACTTGCTGCTGTGTTCTCCATGCTGTTCCAGAACTGTGTGGCAGACCTGTGTTTTAAGGTGCTTTCAGAGGGTGAACTTTGGGCTAAGACCACCCCAAGAACTGGAGAGGATATCAAGGTAGTCAATGTGTGTGCATTTTAAATACCGTGAATCACCAAGGTCTAAGTATAAAAATCCTCCATTTAGTGCCAACCAAGGCAGCCAAGGGGTGGCTGAGCTGCAGGAAGCTTCTTTCTTTTCAGAATGCTGAGCACAGGAAGCCCCATAGTTTGTTTTGAACTCTGGCTGATGTAAACCTTAACTTGTGGTTGGGACCAAACCCATTGTGCAGGATCCCTTTTCCCCAGCTGACCAGCCATCATGACCCTTAGTACCTCACCTGGCTGAATCCTGCAATCTCTTAAGACTAAATACACTTGTACACTTTTCCTAAAGGGCAAACACAGGGCACTCCTGATTAGAGAAATTAATCATCATCAAGAAACCATATGGGAAGAGAAAAGAGTAGAGCTAGGAAAAAGTCCCAAGAAAGCTGAACTTACAGGTGCACAGCTGGAAATCCCACCACTGCCATAGAAGAACTCATCCTTATGGACAATTATGGAGGTGTGCCTGTTGAGGGAGAGCAAGGAGACATGAAAAGGAAGCCATATGAAAGAAGAAGAGTAAATGTTTAAGCCAGCATATAAACCACTTATATGAGTGGATGAAAGACTAGAACTGTAGTACATGTTGCCTAAGGTATTATTGAGGCAAATAACTTAAAGTCAAGAAAAGATTGAGACCCTTCTATGAGTAGGAATAATGTCTGCTGGGACACTAACCAGAAGAAAAATAGTCACACTGGTTATCAAGCCTCATGCTACACTGCAGGTGGGAGCGAATGGCTCAGCCAGGATCACCATGGTACCTAAGACACCAGAAAAGGTGGGAGAAGAACCCCCAATAGCTTTCCTTCTCCAGCCATATGCACTGAAGGACAAAACTTCTCTCACAGGCAGTTAGAAACATGGGAAAGTTTGGGGCATGAATTACCCAAGGTCACCATATGGACAATGGCTGGATGATTGGGACTGGAAAAGAGTTGGACAGTGAGTGGGATAGTTGGATGAGGGAGGATGGAAGACGTTGGCCAAAAGGCCCGTAATCCTGGATGGGAGACTTTGGCGAGTTGGGCATGATTGTGCTTTATCTATTGGAGAACATATTTTTTAACAAAATGTACATATAGCTACTAAGTAACCATGTGGTGGTATTTTTGTAACCTTTGTCTGCAATCCTCCTATTTTCACCTGCTGTTGGTGCTCTCATGTTCAGTCATGTCTGCAATCAGAAGCTACGATGTTTGGGACAGAGACAGTATCCTATGTTTGAAAAACGACTAGTACATTTTGGGTGCTGCTGCAATAAAATATGTAATAATAAATTATTGTTGGTATTGAGGTCCATTGAAAAGAACTGAAAGGAGATTTGCACAGTGCCTAATTCAATGCTATCAATCTTCCTTCTAGTAACTCTAAGAACATTCAGAAAGTACCTCAATCTCTGTTCAGTACCAATGTGTTCCTTCAGATCTAAAACATTTATAATGCCATATTGGAAATGCTACCCAATGTCTAACACACATTATGCAAGTTAAATCTAGTCACTTACCAGATCCCATCCAGCTGTTTCCCTGTATGTAGAGAGAAGGAGAGAGTCATCGGCAACTTCCTTTACACAGTTCAGTCTACTTGCTGTCACTCACCTATGCATCTCTCACCTATTACCACATCTTGCCTTAACCCCAAGCTTCAACCTTAATGCCAAAGTTGTATCTTTCTAAAGCAGTGGTTCTCAACATGGGCTACATGTACCCCTGGGGATACACACAGGTCTTCCAGGGGGTACATCAACTCATCTAGATATTTGCCTAGTTTTATAACAGGCTACATAAAAAGCACTAGCAAAGTCAGTAAAAATAAAATTTCATACAGACAATGACTTGTTTATATTGCTCTATATACTATACACTGAAATGTAAGTACAATATTTATATTCCAATTGATTCATTTTATAATTATGTAGTAAAAATGGGAAAGTAAACACTTTTTCAGTAATAGTGTGGCTGTGACACTTTTATGTCTGATTTTGTAAGCAAGTAATTTAAGTGAGGTGAAACTTGGGGGTATGCAAGACAAATCAGACTTCTGAAAGGGGTACAGTAGTCTGGAAAGGTTGAGAGCCATTGTTCTAAAGCAGGGATCGGCAACCTTTGGTGGGCTGGGGCCGGTTTGTTTACCTGCTGCGTCTGCAGGTTCGGCCAATTGTAGCTCCCACTGGCCATGGTTCGCCGTTTCAGGCCAATAGGGGCTGCGGGATGCGGCGGCTAGCACATCCCTCGGCCTGCACCACTTCCCACAGCCCCCATTGGCCTGAAATGGTGAACCGCAGCCAGTGGGAGCTACAATCGGCCGAACCTGCGGACACGGCAGGTAAACAAACCGGCCCGGCCCGCCAGGGGGCTTACCCTGGCAGGCCGCGTGCCAAAGGTTGCCGATCCCTGTTCCAAAGGATCAGGAAAAATAGCTTTTTTTCATTTAGTAATGAACTGTAGTGCTAGTGAATGGTGCCACACTGTCTGCACTGGTGACTTAATTTCTCTGTTTACATGCATGAGGAATTGGTCGTGCCAGACTTCTCCTCCAACATACTCGTCCTAACCCTGAATGGGCCCACTTCTAGGGAGAAGAAGAGAGCACCATTTCAGTGGCCCAGTCAATCCTTGGCCTCTAAGCTTACCAACAAACGTGCTCAGTCAGTACCAGGTGTACTACTAGTTTCATACTAATTTCACATAATCCATTATACAGCCATCATATAATAATGAATTTCCTTTTCAGTCACTACTGATAAAGGGACAGATTGGAACTGGTGACCTAGAAGTGAAGGCTCTGTAGCTCATTCTCAGTATCTCTTCTTAAAAATAAAGTATGGGGCTGAAATGTAAATAGGCTTTAAAATTATAACCTACCAAATCTGAGTTGTTGTTTTTAATCTACCACCTTATCCATTTTGTGACTTCAGCCAGCAGCAACAGTTAAAGACTTGTTGCAAAGATCACTGAATTCAGAAGATGAAATGAAAAAAGCCACTTTGGTTTCAGCTCATTTAGAAACATGGAAATCTGCCTCATGACACTAAACTAATTAGAAAGTGACTAAAAAACCAATACATGGAAATTGACTTGAATCAGTGGAAGAGGAATTGGAGACTGGACAATGGAGAATTATACATACAGTGTCTATTCTTATGTGTTTGTACATCACCTAACATAACTGGACCCCTATATGCACTATTAGAATATAAATAATAATTTATTTGAAAGAGAACCCAATAGTGTCTCCCTTTCAAAGATAACCTGTAGGGCTTTTAAAAACAGGATTGGGGTAGATAAAAAAGTTACAAATATTTACACCTTGAAACTAAATGTGAAAATAGCTTCCTCCTTCACTCATCATGTCAAGAATATAGTTCAGAATTCAGTGTTTTCTCTGGCAACAGGTGATGACTCTGTCTAAACAGTACAGATAAAATAAACTTCAGCTGCTAGTTTATAGAGACAGAATCCTGGCAGCAGGTTGGAGAGGAAGGAACTAGTTTTCTAAAATTTGATTTTCTATGGTAATTCTCTCTAAAAACGTATTATATTAAACAGGGAGGATGTCAAGATAAACTGTGTTTTAAAGCATTCCTTTACATGTGCCAACGCCTAAGATTCCTAAATTGGAAATGTTTTTAAAATCAAGGTCTCTTCACTATTTCTGCTGTTAGTTTTTGTACTTCATTCATCATAGACAGTGAAGCTCTACTGGATAGTTCCACTTACTGATTATAATTTATTAGTAAAGAGAAGTTGTGTTTGGATTCCCAACGCTGCAGGGGAATATCAACATTAAGATCAAGACATTTTAAGTTGCTTTTTACAAAATTTACGACTAAGCTATTTGATAGCCTTTAGGCCTTGATTCATCAAGATACTTAAGCATATGCATATCTTTAAGCATGCAAGTAGTCCCATTAATCACATATTTATATACTTTGCTGAATCAGAGCCTAAGTGATTTGGGAGCCTACACGGGTTTTTTTTTATTACTTTATTTTTTTTTAAAAGATTTCTGTTTCAAATAGTTATCTTGCCAACCTAAACACTATTTATGGGGGCAAGAAAATAGGTTAAAGCTCATGGGAAATAATTCCACTGCCTCCAAATTAATTGTGGGAATTTGAAGAATTACTAGACTTTATTTACTTGTTCTGTGACTAAGTTAGGACACAGGTTCATAGTTAGGATACAAGGTCACTTTTAGACTAGAAACTGAGCCTGTATAATTTTAGAATCCAATCAAACCAGATTACTTCCATGCCTGGGTTTATCCAGAAGGCCATGTAGTGGGAAGATTAGATGGCTGTGAATCATCCATCTTGTTGGCACAGTTAATTTATTAATCTAGAGGGTTAGGCGATGGAGTGCAGGTTTTTAATCTCAAATAAAAGTGGAGTTTGTAGATGGATCTGGATTAATCAAATCCAAGAACAGTGTACTAGTGATGCATGAAGGGATTATATAAGGAGACAGCTTCTACTCAGGATACCAAATACTCTGACTGGGATGCAAAACTGGTGCCTACACTGGCACAAAAGTGAGAGCAACACCTGTTCCCTCAGCTGGGTAGCAGGGAAATAAGGTGCTATTAAATTTAGCATTTTTAGTCACTTAGGATGACACCTCATTTCTGAAAGAATATTGCCCTACTTAGTGAAACTGCAGCACAATGCCAAGAGAGTCTGCATCTGAGTCTCATTTCCTCATTCCCAGAGGTGGCTGGGAGTGTGCGGAGGTAGGGTGTATGGGGCAAGGGTAGAGTATTTCATTTTCAACCAATCCTCTTTAGCAGATGCTTTGGGGCAAAGCTGATTCAGTCTTGCTCTGGAACCATCCTGTTCTCTTATTTAAATCAGGAGGCACTGAATGGGGGATAGAAGGAAAAAGGCAGGAGATAATTCAAGTAACAGTTATCCCTTGCTCTCAGAGTCTTTATGGGCTAGTGGGGTGGGAAGGATGGTAGTGCTTGTTGAATATTCCATCAAGAACTGTTCCAAGAAATGTATTCCTAATTGATTGACTGATTCGCAGTGGCAGCTTTTGCCTTATACTGCAGTCTAGGATTCCACTCATACAGGGATCCCACGTACACACATCTGACCCATGAGTCAGTGCCATTGGCTCAGGTACATGAGGGGAGCAAGTTAGAAGAGGCCCTGAACATTTCATTTGCATATCACCCTGAAAAACTTGTGCCAGCACTGAAGTGGTGGTACATTAATCCTCACCATGGATCTCTCTTAATATTAGGGTAGCTTGTTCACAATCAGCTTCCAGTTCTCATTTGCCCCCACCCCCTCCTGGAAGAATAAGACCAACATCCTAAGAATGGAACTTCCACTGCTTTCCCATTGGTGAATATTTATTATTTTACTGTTTTAAAGCCAGTTTGGTTGGACATGCTAAATTAGTCAAAGCACATCCCAAAGGCTGAAGGGTACAGCAAGTTAGATAAATGCCATTGCAGTTTTGGATTGCACATATGACATCACAGACAAGGAAGGTGACAGTTCCTAGATGCAGTAGAGACTACAGTGTTCAGTAGTGCATACCTCAATATCAGAAAGATGTCTGGTACATTGGAAGGAAATTCAGGGAAGTGTAACACCAGAAAATGGATTAGGGGGATGGAAGGAAAACTATATGCGGCCAAAGGACATGATTAAGTCACTATAACATCTGTTTCGACAATGCTATAGAAATCTAGAATTGTCCAAGTTCAGCATTCAGCTACTGTGGTGATGATGGTTGTAAAGTTACCTTATAGAACTTTCTACAAGTATTTGAGGGATGAGAGGACTGATCCTTGAGCTTTGTACTGACACATATTAACACAATACCCATGACTACTTCAGGATTCCTCTAGCCTATCAGAAATTGGCAGGCAATTATGACTTTGCTGTGGTGGGTCCTATGATGTGGAATCTGCTTCCCTTTGATACACATCTCATTTCATTCTTCCCCTCCTCTAAAACACGTTAAGAACCTTCTGGTCCTTTATTTGTCACCTTCCTTTCCAATCTTTATTTTAAGTGCATTTAAGTGCAATTTTAAGAAGGTGGCATTATGAGGAATTATCACACCAAAGAAAGAGTCACATTGTTAGAGCTAAACTGGATAAAGCAAAGAAGAAGATACTGTAAGGAGTAATCCTGGACTGGCTAGGGATGACAAGGGTTTAGAACTAAATCATCTAATACATTATTTCCCTATCTAATTTTTGTATTCCATGAAGCTTAAGAGTCTCACATCTGAACTGCTCTGGGCTCCAAAGGAACAAAAGCTATTGGCTGCATGAGATCCTTATATAAAGCCAATCTATGGAGTAGTGCCAAACCGCTTTTGTGGCCACTTAAAAGGGAATGGGATGTATTTGGGGAAAGAAGGTACTTTTTCCATCTACCTACTTTGGGGAAATCTGTGGAAAACCACTGAGGTCAGATATGGCCATGGGGAGCCCACACTAGAGATTTACTGTCACTCAAAGAATAAAAACCAAGATCTATCTTTGGGACAGTCCAATCACCAAATTCATATGATCCCAAATATTCTGAAGTTTGCTTTGTCACTGTGACAAAGCAAACCTAGTGGGCATTATTCCCAGAACTCGTGACAAGTTGCCCAATCTCAGATGGTTATTAACCATCACTAGCAATCAGTATTTCCCACACAACTGTGGACTCTGATCCAATTTGTTAATTTTCTCTTTCTTTCTGCAGACTCCTATAAACTTAGACCTGTGCACTGGTTTTCAAGCACATTATTTTGCAATTATTGGGTATTGTAAAAATCATAGCATACTTATTACCATTCAGAAAAAAACAAATAAAGAATAAGTGCTAAATGTATCATTCAGGAACTCATAAAGCAGCAAAATACTAAGACTGGCATCTTATGTCATACCAGAACTAGAATGCTTTGGCTTGGTCTGCATATGAATTTGCATTGTAATAACAAAAGATGTGAATGAACATTAGTTTAGTTTTCAGTACAAGCCTGTGGATGGAAGAAGAAGCATGGCTAAGGTTGATTTAGCTAAACTTTCTCACACTTAGTTAAATAATTACAAATTTGTGTGTAAACCAGGCCTTAGAGTCTCATTGATATTTCCCCTCCAGCCCAAGATAAAACTTAGTCACTAAAACCATTACAAGAGAAAGTTACATCCTTGCCAGTACAATGGAAAAGAGCCTGAAGGGAGAAATAAGTATTTGTAATTATTTTGAAATTATCCAGCAGGGGGTGGAATAGCGGAATGCACACCTCTCAAAGCTGCTACTTCTGTCTATCTGTCATACACAGAATTAATCGCTTAGGGTCTCAACAGGAATGTTTTCTTCTCAAACTCACAAACTCACTGTTAGCATATATGGGCCTTCATGCTGAGTATAATTCAGGCTTTCATTTTTATTTTTAAAAAGCCACAGGAAAGCACAACATCTTTCTCTCAGGACAGGCAGATGAAATTACTGCCAGCAGTTCTCAGTTCATAGGGCCATCTACTCAGATACTGAGGTGGCTGGGAAGGCTGATATACATTGTTAGCCTGACATGGGGCAGACAGTTACAGGTCTTCTTCTTTCTACAAGGCCACTTCACACTTCAGAAACCATACACAAGAGACACAATTCCTCAAAGTCATCAAACTTTTGATCAGTCAGTTGACAAAGGACAAGTTCTTGGTAAGAGAGTTGATAGTGATATGCATAAACTATTGTAGCCAGATTGGTAGGCTACATGGCCTAGTCTACACCACAGACAGTACACAGTACAATACACAGTCACAGTACAGCATCAACCTATTAGAGATATGAGTGACATTGCAATGGGTGAAAAAGCTTTGTCCCCATTCAGTCTCTCTCATAAGGAAAGTCATTATGGTCAAGAACCAGTTTTCCACTCATACCCAGGAGAGACTGAAATGATCTCCCATAGCCCCATTTTAAAAAAACAGTTTCAGACAAAGAAATAAAACACAATCCTCCTTCAGACAGAGCTACTACACCTGACAGATCTTATCCAGCTGTATTGTATAGGGTCCTAAAATAGTTTGCTACCAGGATAGAAAGTCAATATACTTCAAAGTTCTATCTCATGGTCAACAAGTATTTTTGCAACCTCAAAGTAAACGGAAATTTCAGAGAAGAAACTACTAAAGACAGCATCAGTTCCATAATCCCAACCAATGTTCAGTTCCTTTCTGGTACCAGATACCCACCCTGTACATCTTTTCAAACCCTTCCAGGAAATGCTTTCTAGCCCTCAAAATAATTTGTCTAATTACCAACGCCTAAAATGGAGAAATTTCTTAGTGGAGAGCTCATGTAATAGGTCTACCATTTGGCATATTCCACAAGGACAAAGTAATCCTCAAACAGTCAATCTTAAAACTGAAGATACGTTCTGGGTATTTCCACACATATTTTAAGAAATAATTACTTTTACTTATGCCCCTAAATCCACCATACCCAGAAGAAAGTGATGGTACATCTTGGGTGTCAGCAAGGTGGTTACAATCTATCTGATCCAGGACAAAATCCTTCCAAAAGTTTGACCTCACTCATCAGCCAAGTTACGATTAAATCTGCCATATTAAAGTTGGTAATAGAGCATTTCAAACGATTAGCAAAGGGGCCTGCACCTCCTTTACTCATAAAGTTCACCCATTAAGATCCTGGACAGAAAGATCTATCTCTTGTGAAAAATCTGTAAAGTGATAATAAATTCATACACTTCCAGGAATTGCTCTTTAGATGCACAAGTGTCATGTAGTGTAGCATTTGACACTGGAACGCTGCCCATGGTAATATTCAGTACTTCTACCACAGATATTTATAAACTGCTTGAAACAGGTATCTATTCTAGCATATTTCAAAACAGGATTAGTCCCACCCTAATGGGATTTTATCACCAATGTTGCACTGATCTGTGAACCCTACTGTACCGTGTCAAACGGGAAAATGTATCCATGCTGCTTTGAAAATCTCTTTTCTCTTAGATAAGGGCCAGAGCTCCACTCCACCACGATACAATGACTGCGAGCGAGGCTTTGTCCCCCCGGGGAGCAGTCAGTGTGTGTGTTTGCTGGGGGGCTCGGCAGTTCCCAGCACTCTGGCGGGACACACGCTACTTTGCACCTTGGGAAGCCGTCCCAGCGTCCGACTCCCAGGAGTGACTTGCCTCCAGGGCAGCAAAGGGGGAGACCAAAGGGCCGCCGGGGGCAGGATCCGGGACAAGCCTCCCCGCAACGGCCCGGCCCAGCGCTCCCCCATCCCACGGCCTCGCAGGCCCCTCCCCATCCCAACCCTCCTCACCCCACCGACCCTGCCCCCGGGCCAGCCCCCTTACCTAGCATGAGGGGGCTGAGGCGCCGGGCCATGCCCTTAGACAGGTCGTAGACATAGAGCTTCACCGGGTGCAGGGTGGGCGGCGGCTCCATGGGGGGACGGGGTCCCTGGGGGGGATAAGGGAGGGACTAGGAGGCTCCTTGCCCGGGGGACGGCGGACGGGCGGGTGCCGGCCGAGCGGAGGGAGGGGGGGAAGGGAGAGCCCGGCCCGGCCCGGCTACTTCTGGGTCCACAGCAGCGGCGGCACCAACTGTGAGGTGACGGGGAAATGCTCCCTCTGCGCATGCGCCACAGCCATAGACCGGCCGGGCGGCTTGTCACTGCGCCGCTATGGAACCCGGCGCCGCTGCTGAGGCGGAGCTACAGCTAGGGCGGGGTGGGGCTGTGCCGTTAGGATGCGGGGCTTTTGCTGGTGGGAGGGGTTATTTCATGAGGAGCGGGTACATGAGGTAAGCGAGCAGGACTCCATCTTGTGGGCGGGGTTAAGGATGGGACCAGCTATTGGCTGGAACGCGGTGATGCCCTGTGAAGGTGGCTTTGTGGGCGGGGCTGTAACCTGCAGCTGAGCTGCTGGCTCTAGAGGTGGTAGAATGTAAGGGGCGTGGCTTCCTCATAAGCAATGGCATGGGGGCGTGGCTTCCTCGGAAGCAATAGCATGGGGGCGTGGTTTCCCTCGGGCCGCACCCACTTTCGCAGGATTGGGTGGGATTGTTTCCGGGGGCGGATTTCCGGTTTCGGTGAGCTGCTACGGGCTCAGGTAATGGCGGGAGTCACCTATTCGCGCGGAGCCGAGCTGCCTTAGGGGCTGTTGGGGCCCCGCCTCGTTTTCTACCGATCCCCCCACTCAGGGGGCTGCCGGCCCTCCACCTAGTGCCCATGAGTTCCCCCTTTCTCTCCCCCGGGCCCCGGCCTCCCATTGCCAGGGCGGCGCTGAGCTATGGCTGGCCGCAGATGTTCTCGTCGCCTCTCGCCCCACGTCCCCGGGGCGGTGTCCCGTCCGGCCTCCTACTGCCGCTGCAGGGACAGGCCGGGCCCTTGCCCGAGATCGGAGGGCGGGTCGCGGCTGATGGGCAGCTCGGGGCTCGCGACTCGCTCTGTTGCGGCGCCCCACGTGAGGGCGCGAGACGCTCGCCGCGGCTGGAAACCAGCGAGAGGGGGCGTGTCCCGTTCGCTTCCACTGGCACGAGGCCAATGGGGGGGGGAGCAGCAGTTCCAGCCAGGCCGTTATTGCGCCAGTGCTGCTTCGCGCGCCCTCCCCTCCCCCTCGCGGCCCGGGATTCTCCCACCGCTCCTAGCGTGGACAGCGGCTCTGGGAGCCCCCGCGCAGCCCCGCTGCTGACTCCGGCCTTCGCTTCCGTGGCAAAGTAACGTTCGGGGGCGTCTCTGGTGGGTTAGGCTGTGGCTGCGCTGCTGTGGCGTAGGCGCTTCCCACATAAGGGGACCAGACAGCAAGTGTGAAAAATCGGGGTGAGGGTGGGGGGTAATAGGAGCCTATACAAGACAAAGCCCCAAATATCGGGACTGTCCCTATAAAATCGGGACAGCTGGTCACCTTATTCCCACACTACAAAATTAAGTTGATCTAAGTTAAGTCACGGTACAGCCACTGCAGTAATTACTCTGGGGGTTCGTGTCTGCGCTGTGCCCCCTCTGTTGGCGGTGCGCTTCCACTGACTTCACCGGGTGGGGCGTTGTGAGCCCCACATGGGCCTGACACCGTGTCTACACCGTCATCCTAACTATATCGACATCCTAACTATATGCCTCTCGCGGAGGTGGCGTTATTAGGTCGGTGTAATGGGTGACTTACATTGATGGGAGCAATGTTGTAGTGTAGACAGGTTGACGTAAGCTGCCTAACTCTGTAGTCAAGTATCAGGGGGTAGCCGTGTTAGTCTGTATCTACAAAAACAACAAGGAGTCTGGTGTCACCTTAAAGCATCCTTGTTGTTTTAACTCTGTAGTGTAGCTCAAGCCTTAACTGTATCTACATTGGGGGTTAGGCCTCCCTAACTACCGTGCTTGGGGCATTACATTTTCCCCAGCAATGTAGCTAGGTTGATCTAATTTGTAAGTGGACCAGACCTTAGCAACTGAAAACAAGTGCCCAAACCATGTGACCAGTTATTTGGAGGGTCTTCAGACTGAAGGTCAGTTCAAACACCTGCCTCATCTTCTCTTTTTAGCAAACAGTGGCAGCCATGTCAGAGTGGATGTCTTACTACAAAAATGAGGAGGATGAGGAAGAGGAAGAATATCCTGAAGAAGTTGAAACTGGGGGTAAGAATTTGACCTTTAACCAAAAAGTGTTCTGTGAGTGCTTGCTTTCTTCCCCTTAGCACGGGGTCCTCTGCTCCAGACATATTTCTGAGGATCTCCTTAGGTTTTTTTTTGTTCTTTCAAGCCTCTGTATTGTGAATAATCTTCTGTGGATGAATTTTGGCTACTCAAGCCACTCCCTACATTTGCTTATATTACAAAGCACAAATAACATGGGTGGGTGCATTAAGTGGAAAAAAAAGATACAGCCAATTATAAGACTATACTTCTTTTTTTTGTTTTCTTCAGGGGAATATAAATATGCAGGTCGAGACAGCCTGATTTTTTTAGTTGATGCTTCCAAGGCCATGTTTGAATATTATGATGATGATGAGTGGACTCCTTTTGATATGACAATTCAGGTAAGATCATGTGTTAGGTCATTATTAATCTCTATCTTGTAGACTAAAAGATCTCAACGTGCTTTATGAGTTGCCTATATACATATTTCTTATCCACTATAATATAGCTAATGTAGGTAGTTGACTTCCTTATCTATTTATGTATTTCTCATCACCATGATATGAGAGCACCATATCTCTGGTGCGAAAATCAGAAATCATTCTGCAGCAACAGCAGTGGGTTGTGGGCTGGAGAGGTCTGATCTGTAGTAGTGATGTAACATGTTAACCGGGTAATTGGTAATCCTTAGTCTTAGCCCCAGCTGGGGCAGCCCTTTAATCAGTTAACCATTTAAATGATTAAAAATATTTAGTTTAAACGGTTAACTTTTTAAACGATATTTGCATCCCTAATCTGTAGTCAAACCCAGACATTTTGGTGGTGATGGTGTTTACAAAATGAGGAATAAATTTGCTTTATAGAGTAGTATCTCTAGGAAGTGTTTCTTTTGTCCTCTTCTGTAGAAAATGTGTTATAATGAAAAGTATTTAATGTTCAAATGTAATCATAAACATCTTGTACTTAACTTGTTATGAAATAGCGACAAAGAGTCCTGTGGCACCTTATAGACTAACAGACACTTTGGAGCATAAGCTTTTGTGGGTGAATACCACTTCATCAGATGAATGAATGTACTTTCATCTGACGAAGTGGGTATGCACCCACGAAAGCTTATGCTCCAATACGTCTGTTAGTCTATAAGGTGCCACAGGACTCTTTGTCGCTTTTTACAGATCCAGACTAACACGGCTACCCCTCTAATACTTGTTATGAAATGTGGCTCAAAACATTGTGGCAGCCCTTGGCATTGCCATTATGAAGGGCTGATTGCCAAAGATAGAACTCTAGCACCATTTTTTCAGCTAACTTTCTCCCTCCTTTTCCCCTGATTCTGCTGTTTTCTCTTTCCAGTGCATCCGGAATGTGTACACCAGCAAGATCATTAGTAGTGACAGGGACCTCTTGAGTGTTGTGTTTTATGGCACTGAGAAACACAAGAATTCTGTGGATTTCAAACATGTGTATGTTCTTCAGGAGCTGGACAATCCAGGTAAGAGATAATAGGAATATGAGGCTTAAGAGGAAATGGGGAAGTTTGTACAATGCTTTTATTACCATTTGTCCCCTTTGGAGAGAGAGACCTGTTACTGTAGCATTTTAATTTCTTTTTCTGTGCTGGGATTTTTGATAGGTGTAGCAACTTCCCTGCTTAGAGTTTCCTTATTGAATCAGGTAAAGAACACACACTATCAGTGTTTTATTTCCTTTATGTGTGGGGTTCCATATTTTTCTGTACTTTAACACAAGGCCCCATTTTATGGCCACTGCCCCCTTTGATTAAAGAGGACTTCTAGCACATACATGGTACATTTAGCAGTACAGCAGGTGCGTGACAGGCTTTCAAGAGAGTCCCATCCAGACTCTTGAAAGCTTGTCAGGCACCTGCTGTACTGTTGAATTTACCATGTATGTGCTGCCATACCTTTTGATTGCAAAAGGAGATGGACAGGATGACCTGCTAGCGGTATTTTGTCTCAGACTTCCATAATAATAATGTTCGCAGCACAGTAACTCTGGTTGAGAACCAACAGCAGGAGTAAAGTTAATGTGACAAAGTGTAGGAAGCAGAGTGAGATGTGGGAGGCTCTGGGGAGAGAGAGAGAGAAGATAATATTGTAATTTCCTTGTTTGAGGGAGGGGCAGGAAATAGAAGGTGAGTGCTTCCAGCCGGAGTGATGTTAATGGAACCAAGCGCTAATATCAGTCATGGCAAAGTGGCATTTTATCTAAAAGCTATTGCTTTGTATCTAGTGGGAATATTCAATAAATAGGAGTGGGAGAACATGCAGATGTTTCTCCAGAGGACTTGGACTGTTAACTTTTCTTTCTCATTGAGACTTCTTAGCCTTCGTGCTGAAGTACTTTTAGGAGAGTAGGATGTTGTATAGAGAAAGAAGGCCAGCTCTGTTTTAGCTACTGTACTGGCAGGGTAGGAGTGTGTCTGAAGTCTGATTCCCAAACTACTCCTTGGCAGCACATCTTATAAGCAAAGTGCATCATGGTGGAAGTTCTGCCTACCAACCTCTAATATATCACACCTCCAGAGCCAGACGGGGTTATTATTCTGTTGGCCCAAAGGTGCAAATGAAAGGTGTGGGCTGTTAGTGGGGAAAAGAATTGGGGAAAGACTCCTGCCTGCTGGAGGATACAGTGTACCCTGGAGGGGGAAGGGTTTATGTAATCTAGTTCTTCTTGTATAGCATCTTCTCTCAGAACACTAATTCTAAAACTGTTAGTTAAATAACAGATGGGGTAGGAAATTAAATAGTGAATAGGATCCCTTTTCAGGTGAGATCTTAAGAGATGGAGAATCCAGTGAGGGAGCAAGATACGAAAAAGCTGATCAAATAGCAGTGGTTGCAGAGTAAAACGTTCTTCCACTATCACTGGCAAGATTTTGAAGAGAGAGAGAAGCTGTCACTAGACAAGCAGAAGGGGAGCCGTTGGTCAACTTGAGCAAGTCCATAATTTGAAAAACGAGGATGGTTATCGAGGGTCCATACACCTAAGGATATG